CATTATGCACTCAAATCCTAGATCCGCAGCCTGTTGGCTTAGAGGTGACAGTGCTGAGCCAAAAGGTGAACATAGAGAGGGCTCTGGGCATTGGTGGCCCTGTAACTCCAAACGCCAGCTGGTGCTTTATTTTGAAGTAGAGATCGGAGGATTGAAACTTGATAGCAACTGAGCTGGAGTCAAGATTAAAGCACAGTTTCCAACAAGCAATAATGTTTGAAAGGAATTCTTATTAGGGAACTGTTAACACATTCCTCTCCATGGAACTGATGCGGTTCAAGATGTAGATGATGTGTTTTATTTATTTGCGAAAGTGCCTAAAAATGTCAGACAAATGGGACATGTCGAGGACATAAAAAGCCCCAAAGTGCCACTTGCAATTAAAATGCAGGGCAGTTAAATGGGAATGAAAAATGTTTGTGCAAAACAATCTCAACTTTTTCTTTTGAAGTCAAACAGGAAGGATTACTTTCCAGGGATTTACCACTGGCCAGTGGATGGTAAGTTATCAGCGTAGGTATCCATGAAGGATTTCTCTCTCTCTCTCCCTTCACTGGTCAGCTCCATTAGTAGAGTCTGGAAGTGAGATCATTGCGAGCTGGGAATGTAGGGGGAAAAATTCAAATTCAGTCTGCAAGGGAGAACTGGCAGTGCGTGAAAGAGGGGCTATTTCATGAAGGAGAGAGAGAGAGGAAGTGGTGGTAAAAGAGTGTGAGAGGAGGTAGTGAGGGAGAAAGAGAAGGGAGGTGAGGGAGAGAGGGAGGGGGCAGTGAGGGTGAATCAGAGTGAATAACAGAAAGGGGGCGGGCAGTTTGAAGCACAGCCTGTGTGAGAGAGAGAGAGAGAGAGCAAACTGCTGAGTGCAGGGACTGACATTCAAACAGACTGAGGGAGGAAACAGTAAATGCCAAACTGGAGCAGTGAGTGAGTGAGTGAGTGAGGAGTGTATATCTCCGCTTGGCTCTGAAAGTCTGTTGCAGTTTCTTCAAAGGCCGCGGGACCCAGTATCTGATTCCCAAGTTCGGGAAAAGTTTGGGGAATTGTGCAGAGGTTTTTACCCGACTCTATGGCTCCAGCCCACA